TATTTAAAAGGGATATATGATTAGGTATTATTGTCATGACAGGAGTCCAGAATGAAGGCTGCTTAATGGAGTGGACCTGGGGGGAGGAGGGATTGTATAACAATGAAAGAATTTTTCTTTTATTTTTCAAAGAGATGAGCAAACTTGTGGGGAGGTTGGGCAGGGAGAAAAGTGCAACAATGAGCGAATAGATATCCAAAGTCTCTGTAAACTTTCATTAAAATTAATAAAAAAGAAAAATAAACCCGTAAAGATTAAAATGGTTTGATGTGCATCTAATCAGGGGGGATGTCTCAGGACCGGGCAGCATTTCAATCACTTGATCTTGGGGGGTTGTGCATCAGAGGTCATCTCAGTGACAGCCGACAACAGTAGGTAATAATACAGCACATCTTCAGTGAAAAACTAAAGACTGATCCTTTGCTGAGTTGCAGAAGGGCCCTTTGTGGTGGTTCAAATCCACCACAGTTCAGATTCCTCTGTGAGGACAGGAGATGATACTTATCAAATATTTATTTCTTACTTGTATGTTGTGTTGTGGTTTCTTGTTTATTGCTGTGATGCTGGAAGATGTGCCACTGTATTTCAGATACCAGCAGGACTGTCCTTGGTGGACAAATTTCAGCAGAACTTCCAGATTAAGACAGATTAGGAAGCAGAGACCTGGCCATTCACTTCTGAAACAGTGAAGCCTTTAATAACAAGCAGTTGGTCATTGCTGATGTACTGTGGCAAGCTGAGGCCCTTAGGTTGGAAGGCACTCAGAATATGACTAGGGCTACAGTGAATTTAAGCACAGCATGCGGGATCAGAGTTTTGTTCTATTTTAAAGAGGGTTGCTGTTACAGTTAAATCTCTGGTACCTAACAACAACAATAATACTTATTTCTCCAAGTCTGTTATTTCAGTTACATCTAATGTATATTACATATTTTAGATAACTTATGTGTTAATGTAGTAAGAATCTGTACTACAATCCCAAAGGCATGTAGTTTGAATCTATCAGCTGTTTCGTGGGAAAAGGATGGGCAATCTCTTCCCATGTAGTTTATTGCCTCAGAAAACTTAGTGGAGGGTCAGCTCTGACTTGACAGTCCACAACTTCCTTAATTTTATTTACTAGCCAAAGAATTCTAGAGTTGGATGGGGGGCAGGGATCTATAAAATTGCAAAATAAAAGAATTCAGACTTTTGCCACAATTTTTAAGAAAAGAATAAAAGATCAGAGTAGATGAGGCCAACCATTAAAGACTTATAGGAAGACAATTTCAACAGTTGTCTACAAATCTTTTTGATTCAAATCTTCCTCCACTCCAAAATAATTCAAGTTCATCATTAGTGTTTTCCTTTAAAAAATTTTTTTTTTATTTTGTGTGTGTACTGTCACATAACAACAACAACAACAACTGTCAAATCAGATCTGACTAGTACAGGAGGAGACTGCCCCTCCTTTTCCAGCAGAGCATCTGGTGGATTTGAACTGTGTGCCTCTGGGATTGCAGTACAGCTTTTTGCCACTAGGCCACAGTGTTTTCCTTTTTTATATTATGATCAAGTGGTTTGGTTTCTGTTGAAATTGAAGGAAATGGAATACTATTATTTATATAGCATTTGAAAATGGCCTGTCTGAGGAATCTTTTTTTCAGAGTTTATAACAGGTCATCATTAGCGAGCAAAGCCTGTAAGTGAACCTCAGGGACTAGAATGGTTAAATGATGGGTGAGTTGTTGTCATGTGCCATCGAGTTGGAACCAACTCATAACTGACCTCCAGTGAGTTTTCAGAGGCAGTAAATCACGGAGAGGAAGCCTCCTGTGGAGCTGCTAGTGGATTCAAACTGTGTGCCTTAGGGATTGCAATACTGCTTCTTACCAGCAGAGCTCCCTGGAGGGTAGTAAGTGTAATAATCGGGATTTCTGGTGGCATAATTCATTGGTTGTTCTGGTAGTTTTAATCCACCATCCACTCCCTGGGAGCAAGATAGTCTTATCTTGTGATTTATAGCCTCATAAATCTGAAGGAGGGACGCTATGAGTGGGCACTGACTCGGTGGCAGTGAGGTTTTTTTAGTAATGGTAGTAAATGAGAGGATATAAAAAAGCTGACTTTTCATTTCTCCTCATTTTCTGATTTTCTTAACTCTGTTGGATCTTAAGGCATACTAAAACATTTCGTTTTTCCCTCCACCTGGACTACTGTCCAGGCACACCTCTCACACACTACAGGACTGGTTCCAGACCACCACACTGAAAGTGTGCATTCCAACAAAGCACGTCACACAAATGTTTTGTTTCCCAATGCAGATGAAAGTCATTTTATACTATACTGTAGTATACCTAGTGTACAATATGACATGGAAAAAGAATATAATAAGAATTACTGAAATGTGACCCGGAAACCTGGAGGGCATATTCTTGGAAAAATAGCACCAGTAGGCTGACTTACTGGATGTATGGTTACCACAGACCTTCAATTGGAAAAAATGCAGTATCTCTAAGAAAGCACAGTAAAGTGAAATGCAGTAAGCAAATGCATAATTACATGTGTGTGATCGTGGGCACTGTCAGTAGGTCAGTTAATATAAGAATTATTCCTGTAAGTGAAGTAGACTTACACAGAGATTAGGCCCTCTTATTAAGACCATGTTTTAGAGATATTATTGAACAGCATTTAAATTAAGAGAAATGATGAATTCTGAGTGACCTAAAAACCATCTTCTATTAATATTCTCACAACTGAATTGAGCACATTTGATATCAGGGCTGAGAACAAAGCAGGAAATAGCCTATTTCTTAAGTCTGTCCTTTCACCCTCAATTCTCTTATCTGGAATACATTAATAAAATTCCTTTACAATTCTGACATTATACAGAAATGACTTGAATCATACAGCTTTTATCATTAGCTGACCCTTAGAGTCAGTTTCCCTTTTAATATCAGTGCTTATCTGTCTGATAATTGTTCAGCTTTGTGAGAGTCACATATGTTATTTAGAATGTTCTAGTAACCATATGCAAAAGGTAAAAACAGCTGAAATTCACTCTAATAATATGTATTTTGTAACCCAGAATAAAAAATATTTTCTATTGAATGAAAACCCATTTGATTTATAAACCTTAAAAAAATGAAAAATACTATGATTATAACATGTAATCAATATGCAAAAAAGTTCTTTTTAACAATTTTTGTGTGTGAGAAGAATTTATATTTAGCATTAGCCAGCTGGATACAGTTATAGATAATCCCAATTTTGTTGGCGACATCCAAAGCATCATAGTCAGGAGCAATGGAACCACAGGCCACCTTCTCTCCATCAGGCCTAATCAAAGTGTTGACCTTAGCCACATCAATGTCATCGAGCTTCTTTACAGCTTGTTTAATTTGGTGCTTGTTGGCCTTGACATCCACAGTGAAACAAGTGTGGTGTTATCATCTAGCTTCTTAATGGCTGACTCAGTGGTCAGGGGAAGCTTGATGATGGCATAGTGGTCAAGCTTGTCTCTTCCGTGGGTATTTGGGCTGCCTTCGGAGTCTCAGCGTCTTAGGCTGCTGGAAGGTGGGTGAAGTGCGGATCTTCTTTTTTCTTGTGGCTGTGGATGCACTTTAGGCCTTCTTGGCCTTTAATGCCTTTGCTTTGGCTTCTGTTTTGGGGGAACAGGACACCATCTCCATTATTTTTAATAGTTTTTGTTGTGATTTGTATGAAGGTTTACAAAGCAAATTAATTTTCCCTCAACCATTCATACATTTTATTGTATAATAGTTTCAATATTCACAATGAAGTCAAACTTTTCCTGTTTCTTACCTATAAGTCCGATTTCCACTCATCTTTTGATACCTCTGTGTGCTATTCCTTTCTTTAGTTATAATGTGTTAATCATCCTTTTATTGTATTTTGCCTTTCCCTTTATATTATATATGTCTATTATCTATTTACCAATTTTTACTCAACTCTCCCTCCCTTCTCATCCCTATTAACTGTATATAAAAGTCATTAGTGAGATATTTTACATTCTTCTTTTTAAAATTTGTCCTCAAAAGCCTGAATATATTTACACTTACAGAACATCTTAATTCAGACTAAGCACAATTTCAGTTGCTTAATAATCACATATTTAATTTCCTTATTTAATAGTACTGTTCTAAGTGTGATTTGAAATGTTACAAACAAGTTTGCTCTGTTCATGCAATAATCACTTTATATGAAAGAATATGATTTAGTGCTCTTAAATTAGTTTTATTAAGTTTAACAATATGAAATTTCTGCTTTATATTTAAAAGTAGTTGAATATCAGCAGTTTCATGTTGTTTAATGTAGCTGAACACACTTTTCCTTCATATCAAGAAACAATTACTGTCCATATATTTTCTCCTACTTGACATATCACAATCTAGCTGTATTATAAAAACCTGTCTTTATGTGGGATCTAGAAGCTAGAAAAAAATGAGCATAGAGAAAATGGGCATTACACACCTCCTTTCTTTCCTCAGTTATTATGCCTTCTGCTGTGTGTAAATTCCCCTGCCAAGAGACTGGTTATCTGCTTTGTTTTAACAACAAGGTGGTTCCCTCCGTGCTTGGGAGAATGCATGATGAAGCTGGTTGTAAATGAATTGACTGATACTTGCAGGACAGGAAGGAAGTACTGATACTGATGAAAGATGAATCTGGTTTCATTAGAAGCCGTCTACCATAAAAAGAATTCACTGTGAATGAAGTTGGAAGCAATGGAAAGAAATCCTAGTGAGGCAGTTTGCCTTTCCACCTTTACATTGGGGGGGAAAGCAGAAATTATGTGTGTTAGAGGTGCCCCTCATGACGGTGTTCATGTTCACCAGTTAAGTAATAATTTTATTTCTAAGTAATGTGTAATTAAAATGGAATAATACAAATTAATGATTTAGTAATATTTATGTTTAATATTTTTTATGTTAAATGTAAATAAGAAAAATTATATTAAGTAGAAAGGTTTTTTTCCAAGCTGTATGTGTTATTTGTAGGAGAGAAGTATGGCTACCTTTCACTTCCAAAGCCAATGGTAAGTAGAAAATTTTGTACATTTCTGATTATTTTTATTTGGAATTCATATTCTGTCAATTACTGGTTGTCCCTTTACCCCATTATGTAACAAGTCAGGCTGTTAAGTGCTGAGTCTTGTTGTTTCAAGTAGCTCTCTAGATACAGCTTATGCTCTAAGTATCTGTGTTGTGTTTATAGAGTTGATGTAGTAGTGAAACAGACTTAGTAATAAGAAGTGATAATCTATGATCAGAAGTATTTTTGTTCTTCCCTTAGATCTAATTAAGAAAGTTAAGTTGGAACTATTTTCATTAACTTTTTCGCTGATATTCATATAGAGATAATACACTTTAATAACAATTTAGAAAAGTAATAATAAATGTAATGAAGTACAACTAAAAGAATAAAGTGAATTATGAAGTTATAAATACTAAAAACTTTGAGGGTCTTCATTCCTTTTTATTTAGTGATTATCTTTACTTTTTATGAAGTCTACTAGGCCAAGAAAGAGGATAAAGGTGATGCGATTGTATGGGAGGAGCCAGTCAGAGATCACTGATCATTTTAGTTATATTAAGGAGTGTGTGTGCATGTGTGTATGAAACTATAGCGTCCGTATATTTGTTTTCTGTCCTTAACGTCTTCTATTTATCTTAGTTAAAATTGCTAGAAAACATCAGAAGGGCTATGTTCAAAGAGCAAATCTAAGCTCTGTGGGACAGGAAATGAAGGGCACAATTGGGATTGGTATGTCCTGCAGTGAGACTGAAACAGAGTAGTTGGTCAGAAATGGCAAGTTCTGGTCACAGTCCGGAACCTTGGTGGTTAGTGTAGGTCAGGAGTTGAGTGCTAACTGAAAGGTAGGCAATTTGAATCCATCAGCCTCTCAAGAAGAAAAAGGTGAGTCAGTCTTCTCTTGAGATTTACAGCCTTGAAAATCCAATGGAGAGTCACCATTTGTTCGAAGAAATTCTATGACATTTTATATATATATACAATT